TTCTTCAGCCTCAGTTATTCTGCTGTTGATTCCTTCTAGTGTCTTTTTCATTTTAGTTATTGTATTGTTCACCTCCATTTGTTTGCTCTTTAATCTTCTAGCTCCTTATTAAACATTTCTTGTATCCTCTCAATTTGTGCCCGGAACTCTCTTTTTGGATCATCTTTCCTATCATTAATCTCAATTCTTTTTCATGTTGATTTTCTGTCTCCTGTTCAGTTAGTTGTTCTTGTGGGTTTTTATCTTGTCTCTTGGCTTGCAGCACATTTCTCTGTTGTCTCATTTTGTCTTTCTGTGTCCGTGGTCTCTTTTCCATAGGCCATGGGACCGTCGTTCCTCCTCTTTCTGACGTCTGCTTCCTGGTGAGAATGGAGGTTCACGGGCTTGTGTAGGCTTCGTGGCAAGTGGGATGGGTGCCTTCCCTCTCGTAGGTGGAGCTGGGCCTTGTCCCTCTGATGGACAGGGCCATATCAAGGGGTGTGTCTTGATGTGACTGTGAGCTCAGTGTGCATTCGGCCGTCTGTCCTGGTGGTTGTTTGGCCTGAGCCTTTGCAGCTCTGGAGCTTGCAGGTTGTTGGATGCGGCCAAGTCGTGGTGCCAAATATGGACCTCCAGCAGATCTCACATGGATTGATATTCCCTGAGACTTCTGTTACCAGTGTTCTTTCCCTTACAGTGAGTGACAGTTGACTATCACTTACCCAGGAGAGTCTCTAAGACTCATGAAAAGTGAAAGCGAAGTCGCTCAGTCATGTGCGACTCTTTGCGACCCCATGGATAGTAGTCTGCCAGGTTCCTTCGTCCATGGAATACTCTAGGCAAGAATACTGGAGTGGGTTGCCATTTCCTTCTCCAGGAGATCTTCCCGACCCAGGGATTGAACCCGGGTCTCCCACTATGTAGGCAGACGCTTTACTGTCTGAGCCACCAGGGAAGTGCTCTAAGACTCATCAGTCAGTCAGTCAGTCAGTCGCTTAGTCGTGTCCGACTCTTTGCAACCCCATGAATCACAACACGCCAGTCCTCCTGTCCATCACCAACTCCTGGAGTCTACCCAAACTCATGTCCATCGAGTCGGTGATGCCATCCAGCCATCTCATCCTCTGTCATCCCCTTCTCCTCCTGCCCCAATCCCTCCCAGCATCAGGGTCTTTTCCAGTGAGTCAATTCTTTGCATGAGGTGGCCAAAGTATTGGAGTTTCAGCTTCAGTATCAGTCCTTCCAATGAACACCCAGGACTGATCTCCTTTAGGATGGACTGGTTTGATCTTGCAGTCCAAGGGACTCTCAAGAGTCTTCTCCAACACCATAGTTCAAAAGCATCAATTCTTCGGTGCTCAGCCTTCTTCACAGTCCAGCTCTCACCTCCATACATGACCACTGGAAAAACCGTAGCCTTGACTAGATGGACCTTTGTTGGCAAAGTAATGTCTCTGCTTTTTAATATGCTATCTAGGTTGGTGATAACTTTCCTTCCAAGGAGTAAGCGTCTTCTAATTTCACAGCTGCACAGGTGGGTTTAACCCAGGTTTCCATGGAGCCATCACTCTGTGCTGGGTACCAGCATGCGGGAGACCTTGTGTATATCCTGCACGATGTTTCCCCCAGCCCCGTAGAGCTCCTGCACTCAAGCGCTGCTGGCCTCCAAGGCAAAATGCTCTGGGTGTTCTTTTTTCTGACCCCATACCCTCAGATTGTCTTGGAGGGCTGTTTTGCATGGTAACATCTAAGTAGCCTGTGTGGGTTTAATATTTTTCTGTGTGAGGGTTGTTTTTAGAGTAGATGGCTGCCACTTTTCTCTGTTGGCCATTATCACATTGATGGGAGTCTGACTGATGTCTTGGTGACCAGAGCCTGCACTGAGTATTCAGCAGGGCCTCCTCATTGCTCTGTGATTGTCACTGTCAGAGGTGGGATCTGCTTCCTAGTTGCTGGTGTAGAGGCCCCCAGATCTGTTCCTTAGCTTTTGTGTGTATGATCTGCAGTGCAAGGTAGGAGGGATTAGAGCACTCATGCTGAAAGGGAAGACACTGTAGCTGATCACCTGTGAGTGTGCTCTGTTGTGTCACCTGTCACCCACTGTGTGAGCTCTCAGATTACTTCCGTGGCACTGCAACTGTGCGTATGCCATCTGTTGGCCCTGGTGTCTCCAAGATTGTTTTCACCAGGCCACCAGCATAGGTCCACTGAAGTCAGGCCCCAGGAATGCAGTAATCATGGGTATGGACCCGTTGTGGGCACTATGGAGGCAACTCCGACTCTAGCCTGGCCCAGTCCCCACATGTATGTGCTGAGAAAGTCTACAGCTGCAAAAGCTTGGCTGCGGGAGCACTCACTGGTTGTCTGTTCAGATGTTCTTTAGGTGCTGAGTTTATAAGGCTGGCCTCGAGAGCGTCAGTTTGCCTTTTGGGCAACTGAGAGGAGAGATTCTAGCTTTTCTTTCTTAGTTGCATATCCCCTAGGGCATAGCTGTGGCTTTAGCCTCAACCTCTTCTTGTGGGCCATCCAAAGGGGTCTACTCCCGAGGTGGCCCTGGAACACATGAGTTTGCCTGGGTGAGTAGGGGGTACAAAGGCTGTGAGGCGACTGGGATCACGGAGCTCTGGCGGCAAGAAAGTGTGGGGACTATGGTGGCCATAGGCATGAAAGAGTCAGAGTGCTGTGGCCCTTCCCAGCACTTGGCCGCATGCAGGAGATTCATGCTCGGGTGTTGATGAGGTGTGTGGGGAAGCTGGCTCTACCTTGAGCCCAGTGGTGGCTTCTCAGGGTAGCCGGCAGCTGTGAGTGTGAGAGAGTGTCCCGGCAGAGGTTCCTCCCAGCGCCCGGCCACAGGTGTGAAAGAGCCAGCCCCACCCGGGACCCTTTCCAGCGCCTTACAACTGGTGTGAGAGAGCCAGCCAGCAGGGACCCTTCCTAGTCCCTAGGCGTGGAGAGCCAGCCCCTGTAGGCTGTCTTCCTAGTTGCTGGAGAGCTGCAGCAGTGGAGAGAGGATGCAGTGGCACCTCCCCTTCTGACACACAACAATGACCCTCCACAAACATTCCTAGTTGTGGATTTCCTCACTTCCGACCCCTCAGGCTGTCTCCTCGCAGCAGCCAATAGCAGACCTCTCCCTGGGTTTGCTCCCCAAACCCCATGTTCTTGCCGCCAGCCCCCATCTGCACCAGGAACCCATGTCTCACGCTGGAGCCCCAGGGCTGTGGCATGGACTGTGTAGGTCTCACTTTGTCCTGCCTACCACAGACCTGTTCTTGTCCTTTTCTGATAGCCTCTTAAACTCCGCTGCTCTGCCTACTGATCTCTCCACTGGTGAGGGGGCTTCCTGAGATGTTGGGACCCTCTCTTTTCTCTCTTCTTTCTTTGGTCCTACCTGGTTCTGCAGGGATCTTTCTTGTCCTTTTGTGTGTCCAGGGTCTTCTGCTAGCATTCAGTCTTTTCTCTGAGAATTGTTCTTTTGTAAATGTGTTCTTGATGCTTTTGTAGGGAGTGATGAACCCCACATCCTCCTAACTCCTCCACCATCTTGACCTCCCCGCCTTTTCTTTCTTTATAAAATTTAATTGATTTCTTTTTTCTTTCTTTCTTTCTTTTTTTTTGGCCACACCATGCCATGCTATATAGCAAGTGGAATTCTAGTTCTTTGATCAGGGATTGAACCCATGCTCCCTGCAGTGGAAGTGCAGATTCTTAACCACTGGAGAGACTGCCAGGGATATCCCTAATTGATTTCTGCCCTGATCTTTATTTTATTTTATTTTTTCTAGTTCTTTTGAGTTTAATTTGCACTTTCTGTAGTTTCTTAAGATAGAAGCTGAAGTCATTGCTTTGAGACATTTCTGACATTTACTTTAAATGGGTGGTAAAGAGGAAAAAAATACTTCTAAAAAGGCACAAAAATTTTCAATAACTTTTGATTGTTAGTATGATAAAACCCCACCCTCTTAAATTGTTTTTGTTATTGTTTTGGTCATTCTGTGTGACATGCAGGATCTTAGTTCCCTGACCAGAGAGCAAACCGGCACCTCCTGCAGTGGAGTGTGGAGTCTTAACCACTGGACTGTCAGGGAAGTCCAGTTTGTTATTTTAATATCCTTCTAAAAAGAATTTAAATTTAACATTGTAAACTAAGCATACCTCCTCTTTCATCTAAAGCCTATTAAAATGATAGTAAAGAAATTTTTAAAAGGGAAAAGTTCACAAAAATGAAAAGCTGGGTGGGGGAAAAAGGCCTTAGTGAACAAACATCATCAAATTTTTGGAAGTTTATGGGTAAATAAAACAGAGCAGGATAAGCATTCAGAGAGGAAGCTATAGAGAGCAAGTAATAATTCTCCTCAGTAAAATCCTGGTAATAACCTTACTTAGAGATGGGAATGAGAAACGAAATTGAAAACAGACAGATAGAGACATTCTTAAAGAGTTTCATGACCTCCTCTTCTGAATTGGACGACTTGTTTTCTCAGCAGACGTACTGCTGTTCTTTCTTTGAACTGAGCTGCAGAATTCTTTTCAGTGTTTTTGATACACATATCTTTCTTTTTCTTGGAGTCCATCCTTATTTTGATGAGTACATTCTCAAACACTCCATTCAAAGCTACTTTTCTCTTTGATATATTTGGAAATGTTTGTGGAGGACAATTTTGATTGACTCATCGTGTAGGGGTAGTGGCACTACTAAATCCTTAGAAACTTGAATACTTGGAAGTGAGTAAAGTTGATTTTATTTTTCCCTTTGCCCTTATACTTTACTAATAATGAATAGTTGAGAGATTCTGTGCTCAAAATTATTGTCTCCACTATCTGAAACTTGTTTAAATTATTTCCAATATCCATGGTTATAGATGGGAAAGCCAATGCCAGGCTGATCCTGATTAATTTAAGCATTCTCGGAAATTGGTAAAATTTGATTTTGAGTAGATAATCCCCAATATATACATACATGTTTACAAATAAATTTCATCAGATGTTTCATATTATATATTTTAATTTGTATTTTTCAGACAATGAATGATTTTGACTATTTGAAACTACTAGGTAAAGGCACTTTTGGGAAAGTTATTTTGGTTCGAGAGAAGGCAAGTGGAAAATATTATGCTATGAAGATTCTGAAGAAAGAAGTTATTATTGCCAAGGTAATAATACAAGAGTTGATTATAAAATTTTGGTTTATGTTGTCCACATGTGTGTGTGCTCATGCACGCACATGACTAGACTGTAGAAATTCCATTAAATAAGCAAAATGTTGATTATAGGCTACAGCTGCATAATATCTGTATATTGATATTTATTTATAGTATTAAAATTTTCAAAATTTTATAATAATCTATTATGTACAATCTTTTATTCTTTTCAGAGGAAATTTTAGTCTATGTTTGTTCATTTGGGAAAATGTTTTCACTATGTATTTGGGACCTGTGTCACTAATTATACTAGTAATTTTTTTATATTCCCCTAACAGTTTGAATTTTTTAGTAAAGTAGTGAATAGTATAGATTATTAGCATAGATTATTTTTACTGATAAATTTTATATCATTGAATGGAAAAGCATCCTTTGTAGATTTGAAACTACTGGAATAATAAAAAACTAAAATGATCACTACTGTATGTCTACTTAAAGTTTATTACTACACATGAGTACAACTTTATTTCTGTCATGAGAACTTTTAAGATTTATTTTCCTAGCATCTTTCCAGTACACATTACAGTATTATTAACTATTTATCATTCTGTACATAAAATCCCCAGAAATTTATTTTACAACTAGAAATTTTGTAGTTTTTTAAAAAGTATTTATTAAATTGAATTATATTTGGTTTATAATATTGTTTTAGTTTCAGGTATATAGCTTAGTGATTCAGTTATTTTTTGTGATTATATTCCATATTAAGATTATATTCCATGTTAAGTATAATTCTCTGAGATACACAATAAATCCTTGTTACTTATCTATATGTATAGTAGTTTGAATCTGTTAATCCCATATGCCTAATTAGTCCATCACTTCTGGTAATAAGTTTATTTTCAGTGTTTGTGAGTCTTTCTGTTTTGTTTATAGAATTCATTTAATTTTTTTAAGATTCCTCATAAAAGTGATACAGTATTTGTGTTTCTGTGTCTGACTTACATCACTAAGTATAATGATCTCTAGGTCCTTTCATGTTACTGCAAATGGCATCATTTCATTCTTTTTATGGATGAGTAATATTTCATTGTGTATATGTATGTATGTGTGTTTATATACACATACATATGCACATCTTGTTAAATTAATCATCTCCTGATGGGTACTAAACTTGTTTCCATGTCTTGCCTGTTGTGAATGCTACTGCTGTGAACATTGAGGTGCATGTATTTTTTAAAAATTTATTTATTTTTAACTGGAGAACAATTGCTTTATTGTATTATGTTAGTTTCTGCCATATATCAATATGAACCAGCCATAGGTAAGTGTAGTTTGTTTTTTCTGATTATATGCCCAGGAGTGGGATTGGTAGATCATATGGTAGTTGTGTTTTTAGTTTTTTAAGGAACCGCCATACTGTTTACCATAGTGGCTACACCAATTTACATTCTCACCAACAGTATAGGAGAGTTCCCTTTTCTCCATATCTTCTCTAGCATTTATTATTTGTAGCCTTTTTGATGATAGTCATTTTGACAAGTGTGAAATGGTACTGAAGTGACAATGTACTTTGCTGTGATTTTTATTTCCTTTTCTCTAATAATTAGTGAGGGCTTCTTCAGTGGTAAAGACTCTGCATACCAATGCAGGAGACCCACATTCAATCCCTGGGTCACGATTCCCTGGAGGAGAGCATGGCAACCCACTCCAGTATTCTTGCCTGGAAAATCCTGTGGACAGAGGAGTCTGGTGGGCTATAGTCCATGGGGTCACAAAAGAGTTGGATATGACTTGGCAACTAAACAACAGCAAAAATAATTAGTGACGTTGAACATCTTCTTTGGAGGAATGTCTTCTGTGCTTCTGCCGCTTTTTAATTAGGTTTTTTTTTTAATTGAGTTCTGTGAGCTTCTTGTATATTTTAGATATTAATTCCTTGTCAGTAGCATCATTTGAAAATATTTTTCTCCCATTCCATAGGTTTTTTTGTTTTGTTGATGGTTTCCTTTGCTGTGCAAAAAAATTTTAAGTTTGTTTAGGTCCCATTCTTTGTTTTATTTTTGCTTATACTTGTTTTGTTTTCAGAGACTAACCTAAGAAAATACTGCATTAATTTATGTCCACGAATATTTTGCCTGTGTTCTGGTCAAGGAGTTTTGTTGTGTCATGTCTTATATTTAGGTGTTTAAATCATTTTGAGTTTATTTTTGTATATGGTGTTAGGGAGTGTTCTAATTTTATCGATCTACATGCAGCTGTTTAACTCTCCCATCACCATTTGTTGAAGAAGCTGTCTTTTTTCCATTTTGTATACTTGCCTCCTTCGTCATGGATTGACTATAGGTGCATGGGTTTATTTATGGGCTCTCTATTCTGTACCATTGGGCTATAAATCAGTTTTTGTGCCAGTACCATGCTGTTTTGATTACTGTAGCTCTGTAATATAGTCTGATGTCAGGGAGCATGATATTTCCAGCTCTGTTCTTCCATCTCAAGATTTCTTTGGCAATTCAGGGTCTTTTGTGGTTCCATATGAATTTTAAGAATATTTGTTCCAGTTCTATGAATAAAGTCATAGGTATTTGGATAAAAATTGCATTACATCTGTAAATTCCTTTGGGTAGTATGGCCATTTTAATTATATTAATTGTTCCATTCCAAGGGCATGGGATCTTTCCCTTTCATTGTTGAATTGTCTTCAGTTTCCTCTATCAGTGTTTTATAGTTTTGAATGTATAGACTTTTCACCTCCTTGGTATTTTATTTTCTTAATGTGATTTCAAACAGGAATTTTTTTTAAATTTCTTCTTGTTGATATATCATTGTTAGTGTAATGAAAGAGATTTGTGTATATTGATGTTTTATCCTGCTGTCTTGCTGAATTCATTTAGTAGTTCCACTAGTTTTTGTGTAGTGTTAGTGATTTTTGTGGGTTTTGCTGTCTTAAATGATCTTAAATGTCTTAAATGATCAGTCATTGAGAAAGTGAAATTTCAGTGAACATTTGAAGGAAATGAGGAAGCAAACCATTCAGGTATTTGGGAGGAATAATATTCCTGATAGAGGAAATCACAGCCAAAAAAAAGTGCTGAGGGAAGCAGCATATTTTAAAAATAGCTAGGAATCTAGTCTAGCATGACTTGCAAAGAGTAAAAACAGTGGAGAGTTGTTTATGATAGTGGTAGATGCTGTAAGGATTTTGGGTTTTACTCATTGTACTGGCCAGCCATTGGAAGTTTTTATACTTGATTTTTTTTTTTAACTATATCATGTATAGTAACCTGATATAGTTTTCATTTTAATATCATCACCTGGGCTATACTGTTGAGAATAGACTGTGGAAGCAGGGAGCTTGTTAGGAGTTATCTGCAATAATCCAGACAATTGATTATAGTGGCTTGCATCAGGGTATTAGCAGTGGAGGTGGTAAGACATATTCAGTCTGGGGCATATTTTGATGAAGAACCATCAGGATTGCCTGACAGATTGAATGATAGTATGGTGGCTCAATTGGTAAAGAATTCACCTGCAATGCAGGAGACATGGATTCAATCCCTGGGTTGGGAAGATCTCCTGGAGAAGGAAATGGTAACCCACTCCATTATTCTTGCCTGGGAAATCCCATGGACAGAGGAGCCTGGTGGGTTACAGTTCATGGGCTTGCAAGCGTCAGATACAACTTAATGACCAAACAACCACAAGTATGACATCCTTTCTATGCAGAAAAATATATAGATTTCTGACACATGGCTTGTCAAAACAGAGCAAGTACATAGCGATCACTTGTAGTCACTGTGGTTGATTAAGAATAAAGGTACCAAGGTAAAACCTTTTCTCCCCTCTTCTCCCTGCTTCCCCGCCTCCTTCATCTTCTCCACTCGGCCTCATTTATAGCTCTGGATTACTTTTTTTTTTAATGCTTTCGATGTCATGTATCTTGATTTCAGCCAGCTTCATGAAGTCAGTCTTTAGAGTCTTGTGGTCAAAATGGAGAAAATAATGTGAACAGAGTTAAAGTGTACCTGGTTAAGTTGCTACTGAGTTGTTGGAAATGACCATTGATGTTGGACTTAGATGAGATCAATCTTGACCTTTTCACTTGCAGTTTAACTTCTGTGAACCTCAGTTACCTCATATAAAATGGGAATAATCAAAGACACCTGCTCAGTTACTACAAGGATTAAAGGAGATGACACCCTTGTCCATAGTGATAGAGATGTTCTCTTCTGTTTCTCTGTCATCATTTGCTCCTTGTCCACCTCCCGCCAAAAACTTAACTACCAAAAGCAATAAGTGGGGAGAATGAAAAGGAGAATTTTAGACCATGTTTGGTAAAGGGTAGTGATAAATTAGAGAGGATTGGAAAAATGAGTATGAGGAAGACTATTCTTCTGTGTCATGTTTGCAAAAAATCATGAAAAAATCCATTCTCCCTAAGCTGCTTTCTATGAAAGAAATTAGATATTAAAATTCGTTAGTCTTTTGCCATGGATGAATATATATGAAACTAAATTTCGAAAGCTTTTTCATGAAAACATTTTACTTATATGCCCAAGCGCTCTTTATTTGTAATCATGATCAACAAATGGATTTTTAGAAAAGCATCATATTGTTTTAGCCCCTAAGTTTTATCAGTGTTATTTATAACTTTTTGTTTTGACATGTTGCTTTTAACTGTAATTAAAAATTATTGACATCTGTGTTTACTTTTTAGCTTGTGCATACCTTATCTTCATAGCAGAAACTAATTAGTATGTGAAATACTGTACCATTAAATGTGCATTAAGGAGAAAATTTTAATTTGATCAGATGTAAAGTATGGTAAAAAATACATTTTAATACATAAAATATATGTGCATGGTATTAATTCTGTTTTCATTCTTACAACAAAGAAATACTGTTTTAGCTTTTGCCTACCTACATCTTTACTTGACTCCTTTAATGTGGTTAGGCAGATTACAGAATTTAGGGGAAAAAAATAATCTTTCATGGAACTTACTAAGTGATTTAGAAAAATAACTATTACCAATAATGAGCTTGTTTCAACAAAATAGAATGAAATAGCTGCCAGAAATATTAACTGAAGCGCTAGGATATCTTTTCCAAATGGGTTTCATACTTCTCTTTTTTTAGTCTTTTCCTAGTTTACTGCCTCACATCACTTAAAATCCTAAAGCATAACTGGTAAATGTTGCCTTCTCTGACTGCTTTATTCTCTGTTGCAAGCATATTGCTGTTAGTTTTTCACTGTTAATTTTTTATCTCAAAAATATTTCAAACAATTTTTCTTGCTCCTGGTGCCACTGCAGTCATCCTAGCCATCCTAGTTTCTCACTCTTACACTGCAGTTGTCTCCTAACTGATCACTCCTGTTTCTGCTGTCCTTCTGAGAGGAGCTTGAGCAAATTTAAAACCAGAAATCAATGTGTGCCCCAATCCCCAAATCCTACACCATCATGTTACTCAACCTGTGATCTTCCAGTAGCATTAATTTTCCTTCTTTACCCCACTTTCTCATAAGATCACTTATCAGAATTCATAATTATATCTTAAATTGGATGTGTACCGATTTGATATGCACCAGTGTCTTCTCCACTAGCATGTCAACTCCATAAGCAAAAGAATCATGGAGTCTTTTTTACAAAAATTATTTTACATTTGTACTGTTATTGTTATTTAGTAAGTGCATGTCAAGGATTTCATTTTTTAATCAATGAATTCAGCTTTATAGCCCATAAAATAGCCACTTGTATAATCCTTAATCATGTATTTTGTATCCATTATATGGTTCTCATAAACTTTAGCAATCCCTTGTCTTCTTTGTTTTTTCCATTAATGCTGACCACCATCTAACCAACTGGAATGATAGCTCCAGGAGGGCAGGACTTTTGTCTGTAGTGTTCAGTATCCTGTCTTCAGTGGATAGAATACCCAGAGTATATTTGTTTCATATTTATTGAAAAAATAAATGATTGAATGAGTGAAAGTTCCACATATGAGACATCTTGGAATTCATTCCTATGATAAACTGTTAAGTTCAACAAACATTTAACAACTACCTACTATATACTAATCATTATGGTAAGCGTGGGTATAGAAATAAGTTCTGATATCATTTATATTTAGTATTTTTTACTAAGATGTTTGGTGTTCTAATTAATTTAAAATTTATGGCATGATATGATGGTGGTTTTCATGTTTGAGCATTTAAACTTGGTTCTTATTAACCAAATAAGACTTGAATGCTTTCTTACCCATACTTTATTTCACTGGTTTTAAATACTATGTCGTTACACTTAATTGAAAAAGACACATGTACCTAGAGCCTATTACACAGAATGAAGTAAGTCAGAAACAGAAAGACAAACACCGTATATTAAGGCATACATATGGAACCTAGAAAGATGGTACTGATGATCCTATGTACAGGGGAGCAAAAGAGACACAGACGTAAAGAACAGACTTTTGGACTCAGTGGGAGAAGGAGAGGATGGAATGATTTGAGAGAATAGCATTGAAACATATATATTACCATATGTCAATGCAAGTTGGACATATGAAGCGGGGCGCCTAAAGCTGGTGCTCTGTGACAACCTGGAGGAGACAGGGTGGGGGGAGAGGGGGGGGGGGCATTCAGGATGGAGGGGACGCATGTACACCTATGGCCAGTTCATATGGATGTATGACAAAAACCATGACAATATTGTAAAGTAATTATCCTCCAAGCAAAATTAGTTAATTTTAAAAAAAGAATTGGTTTCACTCTCTTGGAATGGCTTTTGTATTTTAGCATCTTTGATCATTCTCTTGCTCATTTATCTTCTAAGTCTAAGTAAGGTCAGATGCTTTTGTAAAGATTAATACAGTGTCCTAAAGTTTCCACTTCTTACTTATAATGTTGATTTGCTGGCTGTGTTAATAAATTGATCCAGCAAGGGCTTTGTTTAGGATCTTGGCAGAAGCAGAAACCAGAGATGTTGTGTTAGTTTCAGCATTTATCTCCCTTTCCTTTCTTCTTTAAGATAGTGTTATTTTTGAGATAGGAAATGTTTTTCCAGTTCTCCATTTGTTGAAGAAAATCTTCCCTAGTTCACTTTTGATGTCAAGATGAAATTTATGTACAAAATTGAGGAAATACAATCTTAGTGTATTTTTGGCTTTAAATATATCCAGATCTTGAAAGTGTCCTATAATAGGCTATGATTTTTTTTTAATTTCTTTTTTTTCTAAAGAAAAGCATGCTAAAAAACCACAAAACAAAAATATACAGTTTTATACCATTTTTATTTCTGAAATGTATAATTTAGAATTAAACCTCTTAATGTGTACTGTGTTCCTCTTTTCAATAACTTATTTTTCTTCTAGGTAGAAGACTTACCAATTCTATGATCTTTACTGAAATATATCCTTTGTATCCCCCTGAATACAATGTAATACAAACATGGAAATATTAACAACTCCATACCTAGCTGTTAACTTACAGGACATTTTCTTCAAGGGGAAAGGCTTACTATCTCATTTTTTGTGTCCCTGGTAATTTTTGCTTATTATTATATCATTATTGATATACTTTGATAAAGTATGACTGAGTTTATATATTATAGCCATCTGATTTAAATCACTAATTTGATTTTTTTTTTTTTTTGGTAGAAGAGAAGCTAAGCAATAAAGGAGCATATGTTTAAAATCTTTTACTGTGTCTGGGTTTAATTTCTTCTGGTCTTAGAGAAATGGTGAAATTTTTGTATTATTTGTGCTCGGAGCATATATTAAAGGTTTATTTGCCTTTTTCTTTCATAGGATGAAGTGGCACACACTTTAACTGAAAGCAGAGTATTAAAGAACACTAGACATCCCTTTTTAACAGTAAGTGACTAGAGGAAAGATGTTATAATTGTAACATTTTATATTTAAGGGAGTTTTATTACAGCAATTGAGTATGAAAAGTAACATTTTCAGTCACATTTATTTAGGTATGCCATTTTCTTTGATTTGCAAAGTTCTTGTATGTTCCTGGTCCCAATGAAGTGTTTTAAGATTAAGAACAACAGATAGACTTTCAAAAGGAAGAAACTTTTAAGAGTTAGGATTGTTTTACTAATAATTATAATTTTAGTTTTTCCCGAAATAATGCCCATTGCTGATCTTCACAAAATGTGTTTTATATTTCTCATAAATTTTTATTTAAGTGTTCTTAAAGGAATAAATAGACTCTTAAGGAACATGAACAATTTATCAATCACACTTAGTGTTTCTAAGTGTTCTATTTTGGATACTGTTGTAAAAATGTAGGATTATAATATAACATGTTTTCTTTTTCATTTCAAGTCCCTGAAATATTCCTTCCAGACAAAAGACCGTTTGTGTTTTGTGATGGAATATGTTAATGGGGGAGAGGTGAGTCAAATATAACCAACACTTGCATTTGCATGGTAGTATTGTTGTTTTTCTAAAGTATTTACAAGTTATAGTGTAATAGTTCTCTACTTCTTGATAGAGATTTGATAGCTCTCTACTATTTTAGTAAATGAGAGCTGAATAATTTTTAATGAAATATAATGATCATTTATTTTTTTAACTAGCAATACTTTATGTATAGGGAAGCATAATCAACTCTTTCCTAAATTTTTTAAATGTAAATTTTACTATGGATAGTGATTTTTAAAATCACGGTTAATTTTGAAAACCAGACATATAGGGTTTATGGTGCTTTACATAGTTCTTCTGCAAGTTTTTGCGAAACTTGTAAAAAATTATTTCACCCATTTTAAACTCAGTTTAACAATAGGCTACAGGTACATTGCGGTTGAGTTTTCTCTTCTACATAGTAGTTAAGAGTAACCTTGACTGTATTTAGATGATTTTTTAGTTTTGAAGGGAAATTCAATCATTGTAATAGTATATTCACCTTTTCCTTTATTTCTTTATCCTTTTCCCTATTTTTCATCAAAATCAATGCGAGGGGAAAATATAGTTTACTGGAAATATTTCACATTGTGAGTATTCTGAAATTTAATTCTTAAATAGGGGCCTGTATCTCACAGACTTTAAAATAATCTTATTACCTGAAAGCAAAGAAGGAAGGAGAGGGAAGGAAGAAGGGAGGAAAAGAGGGAGGGAGGGAGAGGGAAGGAGGAAGAGGAAGAAATAAGGGAAGGAGGGAAAGAGAGGGAGGAAGGAAAGAGGGAAAGAGGTAAGGAAAGAATAAGCAATTATCCTCTATAGCATGTTTTCTCCTATTGAATTATCTGACTTACAGGAATTAGTGCATTGCAAAAAATTCATTCATTCATTTGGTAAACACATTTTGAGTGCCTTGGCAGTGTGAGTTTATCAAAATGTGTTGAGTTTATAATTTATCTTATAACTGTATTATAAATTAGAATATAGTGAAAGATCTAAGTGTTAATAAATTCATAAAAGGAAATTTGTTATGAATGGATCTAGTGTTTAGGATAGGCTTAATGAAATTCCAACAGGGGAACTGATTTGAGAGGATATTTCAGGCAGAGAGAATGATTTGAGCAAAATCACTGGTAGGCAAGTACAGAGGAACAAGTTGACTAGTTAGAATTTAGTAATCCAGGCATTCTGAACTGGACCCTTGTCAGATGTCTGAGAAAATAAAAAGAAGATGGGTGTTATAATTATATAGGATTGATCTGTCTTAACAGTTCATTAATTGAATGTGGGTAGAAAAGCATTTGGTTGGGATCACGGAGAATTAATATGTGTAGTGAACTTATGAAGAGTGTGTTAAGAGTAAAATTATAAATTGGGTTTTAAAAAGCTTTATCCTAAGGTTCCAAGAAATACATATGTGGAAATACCATAGAGAATAAATAAGGGTCAGAATATGGATATAGATTTGGGAGCCATTCTCATAAAGGTTGTAATTTAAGTTATGGAGGTGAATATTTCCTGTTTTATAGGAAATTTAAATTAGTGAAGTCTCTATGTTAGTATCTATCAAAATTAAAAATACACATATTCTGGGACCCAGGAATTTCACTTCCAGGAGTCTACTTAGATATTCATGCAGTGAAATACTTTATATTCATTAAAAAGAATGATGTTACCCTATATGGGCTGAGACAGTGTAATTTCTAAGATATGTTATGAAATAAGAAAAGCAAGATGCAGACAGAATATAAAGTATGCTACTGACATGTTAAAGTAAGACCATATATGTGTGCATATATGTCTGTGTGTACATTGACTATCTCTGAATTATGTACTGGACATTAGTGCTTATCTTCAGGAAGGCAAACTGAATCACTGGGGGAAAAGATGGGAGGAAGTCTTATTTTTCACTTTATTCTTGGGCATCTTTTGTATTTTGTATCAAAGGTGTATATTAAAGTTGAAGGAAGAAAGATAGGTAGGCAGATGGATGGATGACCAGTGGAGAGAATATTATATAGGGAAATGATAAACTGCAGGCAAAAAGTTGGAGAAGCACTTTTAAATTATAGAAATACTCTTAGTATCATGTGTTTGTATCTATCATAAAAATTAGCACATTGCTTTATAATTATTTACTTATCTGTCCTTCCTACTAGGCTCAAAGCTCCCTAAAGACTACCCACTGGTATAACCCTGGCAGCTAACTCACTACCTGACACATAGTAGGAACTTGACACTTACTGGATGTTTTGAATGAGCAAATAAGCAAATAGATGAAAAGTTTTCCCTCCAGGAACAGGGATAAAACAAGTTAGCAAAAGTGGTAAAGTAGAGGGGACATCCCTGGTGGCCCAGTGGTTAAGACTCTGTCTTCCAATTAAGGGACACAGGTTCAGTTCCTTCTTGGGGAACTAAGACCCCACATACCATAAGGCAACTAAACCCACACATACCAACTGAGACTTGAAGCAGTCAAATAAAGGAGTTAAAAAAAAACTGGTAAAGTAGGAACTATTGAGATGTAGGAAGAAAAATATAGAGTAATGTGGTACATAGGTTCTTTAGAAAAAATGCTTAAAGTGTATTTTCAGGAGAACCTATCTTTTTGTGTATTTATGAAATATTTATTTATTGAGAATGAGCAGTGTACTCTGGTAGATAAGTGGGTGTAGAGATCTGAATTAAGCATAGCTCTTACTCTAATAAAAGAGTTTATGGTCTAGTGGGGAAGATAAAGTATAAAATTTATACTAAGTGTAAACTTGATAATTATCTCTGGTATCAGAAGTATATAGATTAATGACCATGGGACTTCATAGGAAAGAAGGAAGAGTTTTAGATGGTGGGATGAAGGGAAGCTGCCTGGAAGCTTAGTAGAAGGAGCTAGTTGTCACTCGTACTTCTGTTCTAAACCTTGAGTACGTAGACAATTAATCAATTGATGATTGTTAAAATATTTTTTTCTTACACAGAAGCAGATTTTCAAGCTAGCCAGATGGTTTTCTTACTCATTGAAATGCCTACACTATTTCTTTTGTTTGGCATTTCTTTTCCTTTTTCAGAACTTCTGTTTTAGGTGTGTGCTATAGATAAAAACTGAATTATTTTATGTGTTGAAGCAGGTACACTTTTATATGGTAATGTAATTTTACATGCATGTATAGTAACTATAGAATTGCCATAAATATAAAAAATGGAAATATAATTGTTTACATGATTTTTGAAAAAAATGAAAGTTTTATATGTGTACTCCCTTAGTTTTTTTATTCTTTTAAGTTATCAAATATGCTTTTAAATGCATTTTATGCATTTTAAGTATACTTTAAAATGTGCTTTATAAACACAAATAGTTATTTATTTAATTCTTGGAACTTGATAGGGTTATTTCAGTTCTTAAGTTTTTCTGAGAAGCAAATCTGTACTCAGTGTATGCTTATGGTGACTTATTTTATTTTGGTGAATTGTTAGTACTCACCCAAATGGCAGCATCCTCAAATCTCTTCTGTCCAGTGTTTGATCTGAGATAGGCTTCTTTAGTGGACCCATTGAAGTTAATTAGTAACTAGCTGAGTTTTCACTCAGTTCAGTTCAGTTCAGTTGCTCAGTCGTGTCTGACTCTTTGAACATTCATCCTTATTGTCTGATGATTTTCAATTAGCCGTAGTATTCTTCTAGCCTATATTTTGGAATGTTTATTTTGAAATGTAAGTACAGCAGCTGAGACGTTTCTTTATACTTTCTTCACATTTTTGTGAATGTTTGAACTTCTTTCAGCCTAATAGATGGCACAAGAGTTTAGCATGCTTGTGGCTATGCTTGTATATTCCTATATTTGCGAATATTGTTTAAAGTGCTACATAATCTTGGTGGGAATAGATTATGAGAGAAATACTGGCTGTGAACAATCCTTATAGGCGTGTCAATACAGTGGAGTCACATCATAATTTATATGAATTCAAAGAAACAGGCTTAGCAACAGATAACATAGATAGGAATGAAGGCGGGGTGAGGGGGGGAAGAAAAGAGAGTGGAAAGGTAGCAAGGAAGAAAATGGTGATTCTGCCATTCCTCTTGCTAAGCATGTTCAGAGTAACCTCAATATGAGAGAGAAATTGCTGTTCTTTTACTCCACGTCAGTTTCTACTTGCCATACTTGGAGTTTCATGGGATAGAAATTCTAGTGCTTAAAAATGCATAGTTTTTATAAAATAATGTCATTCAGTGGATTGTAAGTGTGGAGGGTCCTCCAAAGAAACTAGTATTTCAGTGCTAGAGGAAAAACTGTGCTGGCTTAACTATGTTGAGGCAGCAGATTGGTCTTCAGTGTAATGCCTTCCTAAGGAATTTCCAGGGTGGTTTTGGTTTATTTGATGGTTTATATGTTAAGTTCAGAATCCACTCCAGTATAATCCATTTGCCTATTAAATATTTAATGAGCAATTACAATGAATTGGACACCAGAGGATGTAAAAATAAGGGAAATATGGTACTTTCCTTGAAAAGATGAGTATCTAATTGCAGACAAGAAAATATACATATTCAGTGTCATTATTGCCATGAAAACACTGGTTGTTGTGGGATACAGAGAATGTGGGTTTAAATCAGTCCAAAAGGAAGAGAAAGGAAGGGGGAGAATGGCATGGTCAGAAACACTTCTTCAAGTACTTGGCTGAGCTAAGTCTTAACGGTGACTGTAAGTTACATAAGTAAGGAAGAGAGGGAGAGAAAATAGAATGTTTAGAATGTGGGAGCTCATGCAAGCTCTCCCCTACCTCCCCAGATGTAGCATGGTATGAATGACGCGCAGAGTCCTGCAGAGAAAAGCCAGAAGAATGTAACCAGGTAGTTAGGGTCATGTTAGGCCAGATCTCTCCCAAGAAATTTAGATTTTATCCTGAATGCAGTGAAGCATCATGGAAGGATTTCTTATGAAATGTTTTAGAAGGAACACTTTGGTAATGGTATGAGGCTTGTATTGGAAAAGATAAAAT